CGAACTCGCGCTGCTCACCAATGCCCATACCCGCAAGCTTCTCCATCTGCGGCGCGTATCCGCTCGCCATGATGACTGGTAAACTAAAGACGCAACTGTTAAAGCCGACTGAATCAGTCGCTGGAGCAAAGAGTGTGGGAGGGGTGGGAGCAAAAGGTGGAGCAGAGGGGTGAGGTGTTATTTACCTTTGAGCGTAAAAGCCGTGATTGATGAGACGTGATTGATGTGTGATGGACTCGACAAGTAGTTGAAGAGATCTTCAAAGAGCGAGTATGAGGAGGAAAGAAAATCGAGGTAGAAGACGATTGCTATATAAGGGCTGGGGGCTGAGCGCCGTGGTGATGAAAGTGAAGTAGAAACGCAGTGGCCAGACCCAATCTAACCCCTCACCATGAGCGATAAACAGTCCAAGCGGGGGTCACGGTCGATTTTGGGCAAACGCTGTGCATGTGAACGGTTGGGGAAGGGGCGTCTGGGACCCACTTGCCTCAGTGAATGCGTCAGTCAGGAACAGGTGAGACTACAGCAAGGTGGCCCGTTCAGTGTAGCTGCACTCCAATTGGGAAGCCGACACTGTCAGGGAGTATTATTAGACAAGATGTTTATCAAAACACAGGCCAATTGACGTATGCGATATTCTGTAGTTGCAATTGAAGTGTGATCTTGCTTAGAGTTCCATTGTGTAGTCTCATCTAACGCACAGTGTATATCCTTGAGCCATCACTCACTCCAACTACTTCTCACATGAAAGAAAGACCTTGGCAACAAACAAGAAACACGAAAGTTGAACACGGCGAATTTGACCTGAATAGCATATCATGTTTCTTCTACTCGGACGCTCGAGTTTAGTCTACTAACACAAACTTCTGCTGTGCGCGTGGCTACCATGTCACAAAGGACCGCCTGCCCAAACCTTTGGAACCCATATCATCGTCACAGGGTCATCTCCGGAAATGTCCGCTACAGCACTGTAAACAACCCCCTTATGATGTTGAATGCGAACACTCCACTGCTATGCTCCGAGAACCCCAGTACCATCGCCAACGCCGAACATCCTCCCCCAGATTCCTTCATAAGAAAATTACACTAAGACGTCTGAAGGCTGACTTGCTCTACACCCCTCGATACTTCCTCTTCTGCCGTCTTTGCTGCAGGTCCATCTTGCCCCTTCTCAGCAGCCTCGACAGTCTTGTCACCACCAGCGGCCTTCTTTGCCTTCTTGCGCTCCTTCTCCGCCTTCTTAGCCGCCGCCTTCTTAGCCTTCTCTTCCTTTGCTTTGCGGGCCTCTTCACCTCCGAACTGTTCTCGCCACTCTTGCTCCTTTTCAGGCTTGATTTGAGTGAAGAGGTAACCGGCAGTACCAATCTTGTGGCCAACGGGCAGCGAACGTGCCTCCCAAGTGTCTGGGATGATAAGGAATTCTGCGTTGAGTTGCGAGAGGATGGCGTTAGTAGTGTCAGGCCTGTCGCACAGTTAGCCATGTGTTCAATAGCGTCAGTTTCATAGTCTTGTGTAGCTGTATACAAAGGCTCTCCGTGTCACGCGGAATGACCCTCGCCGATGTGTGTACAATGAATATTCCGGATATCGCCATCCCGAGCATGCAAACAACGTAAAAGAGATATTTCACTTACATATAAGGTTGAATCAGACTGGCAAGGAGATGGATCTGGCTTAGCGCAAGTCCGACAACAGCGGCGCATCGATCTGGCTGCTCAGTGGCCAACTTGTTGTCTAGGCGGTTATCTTGCAGAAGCAAGTTACCCAAGCTTGAGACGTGTAACACAGTAGCAAGACCAGCACGGATCTTGACATCTTCCAGCTCTGCAATGTACGTCTTGAGCAATTCGTTAACCTTCTTCTTGTGCTCGGTAAAGTAGGGGTCGTCAAACTTGGTGTAATCAGGCACAACCGAATCGTAGATTTTTGCGTTGTTGACGAATTTGATGACGCGATTGATGAAGTTGCCAAGGTTCTTGAGGAGTTCGTTGTTGTTTGCCGCAATGAAACCATCCCATTCGAACTCGGTATCTCCAGTTTCCGGGCGATGCGAAAGGAGGTAGTAGCGCCACACATCAGATGGAATGCCAGTCTCTTTAGCATTGTTGCCAAATACACCAATGTTTCTTGATTTGGAGAACTTGCCCTTCTCGTAATTCAGATACTCGGTTGTTGAGATGGTGTTGAGCATGGTCCACTTGTCCTTGGTACCAATCTGCGAACAGGGGAAGACAACGGTGTGGAATGGTACGTTGTCCTTGCCCATGAACTGGTAGAGCTTGACTTGCTCAGGGTTATGCCACCACTGCTTCCAATCCTCTGTATAGGTTGCTGTAATCGAGACGTAGCCTATACACGCGTCGAACCACACGTACATGACCTTGTCCTCGTAGCCCTGATTTGGTCAGTTGAGTTCTGGTCAGATCTTAGAGGATTCGTCGTACCTCAAGAGGCACTGCAGTACCCCACTTCAAGTCTCGCGTGATACCGCGCGGTCGCAGACCTTCTTTGAGCCAGGAGGAAGTAATCTGAACACCATTGGAGCTCCAGTTTCCCTCTTTGCTTGCCTTCTTGAACCACTCCTCCTCCAGCGGCTGTAGCTTGTCCAGACAGAGATACACGTGCTTGGTCTCGCGCGGAACTGGTGTTGCGCCATCGAGCTTACACCGGGGGTTCTTCAGCTCCAGGGGGTCAAGGAGATGTCCGCACTTGTCGCATTGATCGCCTCGCGCATCATCGTAGGCGCACAGCGGACATGTTCCCTCGACGAATCGATCAGCAAGGAAGCTCTTGTGTGTTTCACAGTAAGGTTGTGTTGTTGTTTGCTCCTCAAGATAGCCATTCTTGTACAGCTTTGTGAAGATGTCTTGTGCGATATCAGTCTGCTGCTGTGTAGGTGTGCGTCCGAAGTGATCAAACGAAATGTTGAACCACTTGTAGACCTCGCTATGCAGCGCATAGTACTTGTCGCAAAGCTCCTTGGGAGTCACCTTCTCTTCAATTGCCTTTGTCTCTGTGGCCGTTCCATACTCGTCTGTACCGCAAATGTATAGTGTGTTGTATCCTCGTGCGCGCGAGAAACGGGCGAAGACGTCAGCGGAAAGTACGGATCCGACAATGTTGCCCAAATGTGGAACATTGTTTACGTATGGAAGAGCGCTAGTAATGAGCACATTGCGCTCGCCCTCGACGGGCAGAATCTTCTTTGGTGCCTCGGTCATGGGAAGTTGCGTCCTTTGAAGGTGTTAGTGTAATCAAGTTTTGGGAAAGAGGATATCGTCTGTTCTTACTACTGTTTCTTCAAATGGGATATGTATCAATTGTGAAACAAAATAAACGAGATCAGCACGTGTATATCGGAATGTATGCGTCCTCGCCTTGATCTAATAGAGTTTCTGAGTCAAACGCGACAGCCACGGGCTCCGATGTGTGTGGTTGTAGCAGCCCCGCCAGAACCGACCCCGCCGCGCCAACGCCACAAAAATGACCGAACCCTGAATCCGATCTATGCTCAGCGTGGGCCTGAGGGGCAAAGTCCCAAGTACTGCAAATACTATGTTCTACTAGATTTGTAAGCCCTCGAAGAAAAGCAGCTTGGAGGAAAAACACGGCAGTGTCTTCGTCCACAATTAAGAACAACATTGCTTCAAGAGATATCACACAAGGCTACCAAAATTATTCTTTGAACCATCATCCAATGTCTCAGCAGCCGACATCTCAAGATAACGTCTCCGACGACCCCTTCGACACCCTCCTAACCCTGGAAGACACCCTCTACACTGCAGCCTACGACCTCGGCGTCTCAGACGGCGCCCACGCCGGTCGAATCGAAGGCCGAATCTTTGGACTCGAAAAAGGGTTTGAGAAGTTTGCCGCTCTTGGCGAGCTGCATGGGAGGAGCGTAGTATGGGGTTTGCGGCTCCCCGGCCTGACCTCTGAGCCGAACATAAGCAATGTTCAAATCACCAAGTCAGAGGACGGAGGAGCTGATAAGAAAAAAGAGAGCCAAGAGAGAATACCATTGCTTTCAAAGAATGAAAGGCTAAAGAACAACGTTACGCTGCTGCATTCCTTGACGGACCCAGAAACTTTCGACACAGCAAACACTGAAGAAGCAGTTGCCGACTTTGACGATCGGTTCAAGAGGGCTGGAGCCAAGGCAAAAGTCATTGAGCGCATTGTTGGCGAAACGGATACCACTGTGGCGTCGTCAAAGTCACCTGACGGTTCACCCGCCAGAGCAAAGAGCGGGGGACCCGTGCGCATTACAGGGCAAACAAAGAAAGGTAGCGGAAACAAGGGCGATGATAGTATCGAGGACTTTGCGGGGTCGAAGCTGTTGAGGTGAAGTCTTCCAAACACCAACACTCGTGTTACCCAGAACGGTTAGGCTCCACTTTGTATCGGTATCATCCACAGATGCAAGGTGGATTGAGCGGCAGAACGAAACAGTGGGGCCGCATCTCCGAAGCCGCTGCATGGCGCTATCCGGCAAGTCTCACAACATCCATGTACAATGACCTGATCCGAAGCCGATAGAGGAAAGAGCAAGGGAGAAATGGGAAACAAGGTCATCCGCAAGGAAGCCCATTGCACACTGTAACAAACAATGGTGAAGACCAGTTGGCTTCGAATTACTTTGCTATCCTAGAAGGAATCTGGGCGACAACCCAGGTCTCAGCCCAACCACTACACCGTGCTATGACATACGAGATCAGAAAGAAGTTAAAAAGGTCCATCGTAACTAAAAGGATATTGAGAAAGGTGTCAAATCTGAAGTGTGCCGCAAAGCCTCTCGCTCCCTCCCCATTTTCGTGCTAGATGATGCACTGGTATCAAAACGTTCCAAACTACCCTCCGCACGCACTGCCCCCTCAGACACGCAAAGCTCAGACCGGATCCATAGAATAGTGCCTGTCCGAGCGTGGATCCATACGCGGCGGTGGAGGGCCGCCAGGCCTGCCTGCGTTGCTATCGACGCGACTATGGTGCGGGAAGTCCTAGTACCCGTTCATGGTCATGCGCTGGCTGCTCCTGCTAAGCTCGCGATCAGCGGCAGGTGAGATGGGGCGCGAGGAGTGGCCTCCGTGGGCACTGCTCTCCTTGAGCGCAAGCAGCTGCTTAGCACGGAACGATTCGTAGTGGATTTGTGCGGTCGTCTCGATCAGGTCTTGCAAGTGGGTGCGGGTAAGGAAGTTGCGGAGGTATACGAATTCGCAGTGGTTCTCGTCCTCGACTACGACGCGTCAGTTCATTTGCGTGAGAAAAAAAGATGGGTCTGCTGTTGCTTACCATTGATAATACCCCACTTGTTCTGGCGGCCACGGACGTTCTTGCCATTAACAACAACAGTCCTCTCGGAACCGACAACGGCAAAGGGCAAGAGCTCCTGCTACATGTTAGCTGCTGCCCGTCTCAAATACCAGCCCACTTCCAGCATACCTTGATGGCCTGCTTTGCCTGGACTTCCTCGCTGTCATCCTCCTCGTTGTCGTAGGGGTACATGCGCAGGTTGTGGAACTGGAACTCCTCCTTTATCCTGTGCTTGAACTCGGCACGCTCCTCCAGCGTCAAGCTGTCACTCTTGGCAATGACGGGCACGACGTTGACAAACTCGCTCAGCTTCTTGAGGACAACAATGTCAATGGGCTTCAGGGCGTGACCAGATGGCTGGATGAAGAACAAGCAGCAGTGGATACGCGTGTCCTGGAGGTACCTCTCACGCTGAGCGGTGAGCTCCTTGCGGAGGTAGGCGCTGTGCTGGTCCTTGATGTACTTGACAATGGGGTCCCAGCAGCGTTCGTTGTTGATCAGGTCGCCGTAGCCGGGGGTGTCGACGATGTTGAGGCGGAGACGCACGCCGTTTTCCTCGATGATGTGTGAGACGGGGTGGATGGTGGTAGTGCTGCGGACCTCCTCGTCGGGCTGGAAGCGGCCCTTGCTGTCCATAAGGTGCGAGGCGAAGAGCGTGTTGATGAGGGTCGACTTGCCCAGACCCGTCTGGCCTGGTTACACTTGTCAGTGGGCGTGTACACAAGACAGTCATGTTCAAATAGCAGTCCTTACCAACACAGATGACATTGAACTGGAAGCCCCGCTTGATTGACTTGCGCTCAATCTGCTTGGTGATGCTGTCGAAACCGACATAGCTGTCAGGGAAGATGGGCTGCGACTGGTTCTGGTACGCGGCAGCCATTGTGGGCGGTGGGGGCCTCGGGTGGCGGGTATGTAGCTAAGAAGAGATGCGGAGAGTGAATGTTATGGGGGAGCTAGACCTTGTGGCAGACGGACAAGGTAAAAACAGAAAAAGGTAGGGTCTCTGGCTGGGAAGTAAATAGTCAGGGTCGCTGCGCTGGCGACTTTCTCGCGGAGACACCAGGCGCGGGAAAGGGGTCGGCCTTAGGAAGCGAAAGCGCGCTAGTGGGAGGGCGGTAAGGCGCGACCTGCACGCTCGGACACCCGTGCGCCGACAATTTGCAACTCCATCACCGCCATCGCCAACATTGCGGGCAGCCCAACGAGAGAAATGGCCCTTGCTCGCCCACTTCCCACGCTCTGGCAGACTCTTCTGCCGGGCCTCAATGCCTCCACCCGACCCGTCTTGAATGCGCCCTTTCTGCAACGTCTCGCACAGCCCTATGGTGCACTGCATACACCTTTCGGCGCACTCGCAATACCCTCACTATCACTGCCAAAGATACCGTCATTAGCGGACATCTGGGACGGAATTCTCAATGCAGTGCCCAAGAAAAAGACATCGTATCGCAAGAAGCGACAACGATTCATGGCTGGGAAAGGGCTGAAGGATATCACATCGCTGAATAAATGCTCAGCATGTGGGAGGGTCAAGCGGCTGCACATTCTCTGCCCATACTGTGTGGATGGTAAGTAGCTGTCTCAAGACATGCTGGTGGTATTTTCTGGGCATACAGCTGACAATTGATGCTAGCAATCAAAACTAACATCTTCGGCCAGCTCAATTGGGCTATTCGCCGACCTACCGATAAGCAGGCCAAACAGTTCGCGCGCGAGAGACGAGACGAGGCACGGAGAAAGCGCACCGTAGAGCCCGACCCACGCAAAGAGAAGGAGGAACAGATCTTGAAGCATACGGGTTGGAGGAAATGATGTCACCACCGAGAGTGATTATGGGGTAGGAATGGCAGCATCCAGTTTTCCCTCCGTTGGACATTCTTCCCACCTGCGCAGCGGCGCCGGATGGGAAATGAGAATTTTCTTGTACATTGAAAATGTAACAACACATGGCATTGGGCTCGAGTCATACTATATGCACGAGGCACTTTGTAAGGTCGAACCACGCGATCCGAGGTGATCAAGCACCAAGGGCTTTATTATACCACTGTCCACAAAAAATCTGCAGACGAATATGGTGTATGCTATATCAGTATATGCATCCCAAATGCAATTCACTTCCTTTCGCTGATGCCGAGCCCACTCTCTGTCCTGGTCATCTGACTCACAGTGCTTCCTCTCCTCGAAGCTTCGTCCTTGCCCTCGGCAGCTTCCCGCTCAAGGAAGTCTTGCCATAGCTCGGCTAATGATTCCTTGTTGCTTGAGCTGCTAGCCATGAGCATAGGATCTACTTGCGAGCTTAGTGACGGTGTCGATGGTGTCCGCCGGAAAGGTGCTAAGGGGAGGCGGAGACTCCCAGAGTTGGTTGCCGTGCCTGGGCGGGCGAGACCTGCTTGTTCCTTTTGCTCTACATTCTATGTTAGATTATGCCTGTAGCAGTAAATGACATTGAAAACTTACCATCAGTCCATCCCAGCAATGCAGAAATCAACTGTAGTGCCTCAAACTTCTTGGGATCGCTGCGGTCAATGCTGAGGAAATGCAGGAAGTAATTGGTGATGATCTGGCGATCGACATTATCCTCTGGTCGGCCCTTCTTCAAGATGCGCAAGGCTTTGGTGAGGTGCTCATTTAGCGTGACAGCTTCATGTCGCAGCTTGCCAATCAGTAGGTTCTTCTCTTTGACCTCCTTTTCAAATGGCAGTGCTCGCTCAAGGTCTTTCTTTGTCGACTCAAGTGCTGCTTTGGCGGCATCTGCAGCAGCGTCTGCAGCTTGCACTTGTTTACGGAGTTCGTTGATTTGAGATTCATACGTCTCAACAGACTTTTTGAGCTCGGCTTTCCTTACTACAGATTGTTAGATTGCTGGAACGAGACAAGATCGACGATACTTACGGTTCTGGACCTCCTGCAGCGCTTTTTGTAGGCCTTCTACAGCCTGGCTGTTGGTGTCCCTGTCCCTAGCAGCTTTCTCATACTCATCCTTGATTGACTCGAGTTGCTCTCGTAACTCTGCATCTTTCTCTGCAAGGTTCTCACGTAATGACCGCTCGTTCATGGCAAGCACCTCCCAGTCCTGCATGGCCTGCTTTGCATTCTCAAACTCCTCTTTTGCGTATGCCTCTCGGGAGATGAGTTCATCGCGTTCTTTAATCCAATTTTGTTGTGACAAGGTGGCACGGCTTCGCAGGGTCTCAATCTCTGACACTTGTGCCTCCTTTTCCTGCCGTAGCTTTGCAAGTTCTTCTGTGAGACTGTTGTTGTGCTCTTGTAACTCCCGATTTTGGTCTTCGAGGTCCGCGACTTGCGTCTCGAACTCTTCAATACGAGCCTACAACTTGTCAGCATTCTAGAACAACCCTCGCTACAACACAGCATCAGAGAGGAGCACCGACCGCATCAGCCTTCAGTCGGTCACCCAGACTCGTCTTGATCGTGTTTACCCTGCCCAGCAGGTTCTTGTACTGAGTCTCGAAGTGTTCCTTGCTCTCGTTTGCCTCGTCCAATTCCTCCCTTAGGCTTCGAATTTCCTCCTCGTGATTGCATTGGGACCCGTCGGCCGCGCCTGTACTCTGCTTGCTTTGAATACCCTCTAGACTCTTCCTGAGCTCGGTGACTTCCTGACGTAGCGCATCGCGCTCCTTTGCTATCGCGTCGAGGCGGGCGCTCGTGTCGGAGGCGGGCGGTGGGGATGGAGAGAGCCCTTGATGCGAGCGTGAGCGTGCTAGTCCTAGAGCAATCGCAGAGGAAATGCTGTGGTGTGGAGTACCGTTTGTTTGTATTGTTGGAGACACTGGTGGTTCGTCGTCTACATCATCGGCGTCCGGGTCTGCAGCGTGCGCGGTAGACTTCTGTATTTCGCAATTTTAGCACCAAGACATACATGCAAGGGGTGTGACATACAGTCTGCTGTTGCTGCTGCTCCCCTTCACCCTCAGAGTCGTCGTCATGATCGTCTGGAGCCGCCTTGCCGTTGCCGCCATTTGCTTTTGCCGTCTCGTCTGGCTTGCTCGCATTGGAGTTTGATTTCTTCTTATTCTTCTTATTCTGCGACTTGGACAAAGTTCCTGTGCCTGCCTGTCAGCCTATTACTCAATGTTGCTTCACCACCACCACTTGCGACCGGGGATGCGGAGTTGAGCAGCACCTCCGAAAGCTGCCACCTCACCTACCACTTTGTTGTGCCGGGTCAGATGTGGCTAGCGCAGACATGCTGAGAGACGTGTTATGCAATCGCTACCTCATGGAGAAGATTTGTTTCTGGAAAAGAACAGATAAGCCGCGTTACCAGGGAGTATTCGAGGCTGTCTTGACTTGGCAATTCGTGTCCCGTTCTACGATGCTTTGTTTCGGCCCGCGTGGCGCACGTCATGAGCCACACTTCATTAGCCACAGCCCCTCTGCCTCGGCGCACCATCTGAGCATCTTCCCCTCTTCAGCCCAGCACATGCCTGTTCACCCTCTCCTGTTCGAAGATCATAATACCAAAATATTATCGTTGTGCGAACAATCAATGTCATTGTGCTTTCACATCTCCTGCAGCTTGCCGTTTACCCGGTAAACGGCCTAGTGACCTAGGGACCACATGCACGCGGCGAGTAGATATGCTTCCGACTTATTTCTCTAATTCCCTATTACGAGAGTATTACTAGTATTGTATATAGTCAGTGCATGCAACAGGTTACCTGATATAACCCCTTTCTACTGAGAAATTTATCAATATCTCTATTTCTTAAAGCTTCATAGCTCTCTTATTTTTAATCAATATTTTTACTTCTGATACCAAAATTATATGACTGTTTTACTGCTTAATTAAATATAACAGTGGGATTTCCTCCGTATTATAAGGTTTGATCGTAACAGTCTTTGACCTAGATCGCTTTTTACCTGGGGTTTGAGCTCGTTTTCTGGCTGGTTTGGCTGGCGGGGATTCTAGTGTTTACCACGTAATAAGACGCTTTCTGAATATAGGGATTCCCAACGTCTAAACACGAGTATAGCTAATTAGTGTAGAGATTCTTAGAGCTAATTATATCACGTTTCTTCTTGCACGAAAACCCCTCCCGAAACGATTGTAATCTGCATCCAAAACTGCAACTAGATTCTATTCTATTGAGATAAAGCACCGTGTCGAAGCCTATGCTTGCATAGACCAAAGTATTTTTTGAAGTCGCTACTTAGGTGGGCGACGCATTCGGGTATTCTAGAGTGGCTTAATTGAGATTGATGCAACCTTCCCCATTGATCATCTAATATGTCCATCACATCAATGCTTCGCTGGAGTTCCCTGTCTACTGCCATGGCTAGGACTCGCTTTCCCTCCCAGTTGTGTCAATCTGGAAGTTGCCAAAGTAAACAGGGCGAGTCTGAAGATCGGATACAGAAGTATTGAAGGCACGCTCAAAACAGCCTCCTACACTGTGTAGTAGGAGTAGGTATATCCACATTGTGTTCTTCTCTTGGCAGCCTTGACAACCGAGGGATTCCTCAATAGAAGTTATCGCTTGACGAGCAAGGGTTAATACCTGGTCTACTGAGACATTTGCCCGTTGCATGTTCACTCCGTACATGCGATGCAGACAAGCAATTTGGTTTTCGATACAAAAACAGAAATCCACGTGTTCACTACTGTGAGAGCCCTCTGGATGTTCTGAGTGGGCGGAAGACGATGTTGGGCAATACAAGTCGCCTAAAGCATTTTGAATATCGAAACCATTCCGGGTAAGAGAGTTCTGTGCTTGGGTTTCGAAGCTCGAGCAATGAAGTGCCACTGAGGTGTAATCTGTAAGAGAAGACATGTCAGGCATCAAGGAATTGCTACTAAGGTTCAGTAGATTTGGCTCAAGCGGCTCGGATAAATTTGCATTTTCATGATTTCCCAAATCTAGCGCTTTGTAATAGTGAGTACGTATATCATATTTGAGTGAAATGGACACATACTTTGCGGGCTTTCAACCCGGTTAGGAACGTCGCAGTTGACGGCCTCACTAGGCTCTATGGATGGAAGTTGAAACGAGCAGTAGTTCTTTGCTTTTGGCTTTCCCCTAGGCAAGCCAGGACTGTTCGTGCAAGTGAAATTTAATCTCTTACACCGGGAGCACTGAGGTTTTGTCCGACAGCACTTGACCTTGGATCTGAAACACTGGTCGCACGATAGATTGGTCCGGACTGGTTGAACTGAATCCATTTGTACTGATGATGAGGCTGCTATGAACACATACGTCTGGTGGCCGGCACACACCGTCTCATGTCTTATACTGCCTAATTACCCCACCAGAATATCAGTGAGTTAACCTGTTTATGGTAAGAGATTGGCCAATTTTGGAAACACGTAGGATATGTTGGGCAGTGCCCAGTCTGTTAGCAATCCATGTGAGAAATCATCTGAACATATCTGTTGTCTATTACCCTTTGACCTCACAATGGGGTATTAGTTCCGGTGCTTCACACGATTGCTAGGTCATCTCAACCACCGAGGTAAGTGATCCGGTGGTACGAATGCATGATCAGTCTACAGATTGGGCAGTCATAAGGCCAATTGCATAGTTATTCATCTGTTGGGAGGACACAAGTCTTAGTCATGCAACCCAATAACGAGTTGTATGCATCATCCTTGCCTTTCATCCAAGAAGAGTAAGAATACCTAGCCTCGGTCGCTGTATCCATTGCTGGAACAATCCAACAATATTTATGGAATGCATTAGGGTCTGTTCGGTTGCTCAGTTTGCTGTCTCTCACCCGGTAAAACCGGAAAATCAAAACGAGCAGCTGTTTCCCAACAAAACCAGCTATCAACCGAATTATTCCTATTACAA